AGAAAAGAAAAGAAAAGAAAAGAAAAGACAGGAAGCGTGAAAGAGAGAGCACAAGAGAAAGTGAGAGAGAGAGAGAGCAAGAACAAGAGAGCAAGAGAAGGGAGGAGAGAGAGAGAAATAAAGGGAGAGATAAAAAGAAAGCAAGAAAAAAGAAAGGAAAGAAAAAAGGAAGGAAGGAAGAAAGAGAAGGAAGGAAGAGAGAAAAGAGAGGAAGGAAGAAAAGGGAGGAAGGGAGAAAGTGACTTTGGCTAGGCACACTGGAAGAGGATAGCAAGTTTGGACCTAACAGCTGCGTTTTCTTTTTCGCAAACAAACAAACAAACAAACAAATAAAAAGCAATATTTAAGTAGAACCTACATACTGTGTATCTATGTACAAATACACACATATAGAAAAGCAGCAGGAATGATTTACGCTTGATTTTCTGTGAGCCTTTCTCTTCCCAGTATTTACAAGGCGGGGCTCCATTTGCAAGTTGTACATCTGTTCGCTTCACGTGACATTTTCATAAAAGCTCTAACATCTGGTCAAAATAAACCTCCTTCAGGTACCTGCTTAACTTTTCACATGTCAAAATCCCTTCCCCTCTGAAGCTCCCCTTTCCTCCACGGCTGCAGCCGTGTGCATCCCTCCTTTCTTGACTGCTTGTTTAATGACTGCCTCGTCCCAAACAGAACAAAGCAACCCTAAACATGAGGGGGGGACGCCGACCCTTCCTAAGAGCATCCTTCCCCCCCCGGCCCCCTCCCATTTCCAGATTTCCCCGCATGAGGAGGGCAGAGCCGGTCCCCGTCCCGCCGCAATCCTGCGCGGCGGGATTTCTGCGTGGCAGCAAGCAGGGTCTGCTGCACCCCCCAAGCAAACCCGCAGTCCTGCTCGGGCTGGTATTTTGCACGAACGCCGGTAAAGCCCCCGAAGACATATGATGAGCACTTAATTGTCCCAACCCGATTCCGTTATTATTTCTGCTATTATTAATTGCTGCTCTTATCGTTCTAGCCGGTTTGATTTCAGCGTGGTTCGTCGGGATTATTTTGGAGTGGAACGCGTCCTCTTTGCCCGTGTCCATGCAGTGAACAAGGGAATTTCCGTAAAGCTCCCGCAAATTGAATGCCACCTCCTTAGGAAAAGAGCGGGGAAGTGTCGGCCACCCAAGACAAGCAGAATACCTAAATAAGAGGGGTGCAAGCGCTCCTGAGCGGGCGGAGGAGACAGGGAATTGCTGGGAAAACGGACAGCTTTTCCCCCGATCTGAATGCTTGGTTTTGTTTTGCGTTTCATTTCGGATTTTTAGGCGGGTGTTATCATCATCATTATGTTTCCGGAGCTTTATTGTTTCTGCTCTGTAAAAGCGCTCTAAGCCTCCCGCGATCTCGATCACTCGGTCCTTATAAATGGCCGGCTGTTTGCTTTTAAAAAAGAAAAGGGGGACTTTTGTACAAGTGATTTTAACCTGCTCCACCTTCAAGTGACCTGCCAAATGCTCCTTCTTACTTTATAGACATCTGGGAATTCCATACATGCCTTAAACTCCAATTACACACCTTCTTCAAAGGACACGTGCTTTGATTTGCCAAGAACATTAAGTGGACTGAAGTCCAAAGAAGCTGGTGCAGAAGTTAATGTGAAATACATCCTGTGCCATGTTTACTGCGGGCAGGTTATGCGTGCAGCAAATAAAGCGAGTCCCGGTGGGACGTGGCCGTGTGCGCCTCTTTTTTTCGCCTGAGCCTCCCGGATCCCTCCACGGGGTGGACTGGACCTTCCGTCACCACCGCCACCACCCTCTTCCCGAAGATGCTAATTTACGGCGGAGCGCTGCCGCTCCGCCCGGCGGGCCTGCTGCCTGCCCCAGCGGGGCAGGTGAAGGCAGCGCCGCGCCAACCGGGCGGGCACAGCCACCGGGGGCGG